CCTTGTTGTATGAAATAATTCAGAAAATGTTAGTGCGCTTCCTGCCTCCCTCCCAAAGAATATTCTCCACCACAATGGTTTTAAGGAGAATCCGCACCTGTCTAATTTTCCGCAGATGCTGAGTGATCCAGGTCTTCAGTTGTTTCCAGATCAATGTTTTGGACTCTATTTGCTAGCTCTCCAACAACTTCAGAGCCAGTAACATTTTCAGACTGAGTAGAAGACGCTATCCATTTCCACCAACCATGTCGCCTCCTTATTTTGCCACCCTATAATTAAAGAGTAACAAACTAAAAACAAAAGAAATTGAAAAATAATAATAAAAACACCTCACAAAAATAGCCCAACAAAAAATACCTGCATTTCAACCACAGATGAAGTTCGTACAGCATCAAATACAATCTGAATATTGTCAGTCAAATTTGCGACCTAATAGACAAAAACACATTTGTTATATAGTGAACAATGCTACAACCCATCAGAAAGATTTAAATAAGAAAAACAATCAAATACCCTCAAACAACTTACTAGTTTGAAGTCGGCTATTGTATTTAAAGAAACCCATCCCTGATCGTCCATTATCCCTTTCAAATATGCATCATTGATTAAATTCTGATCACTGCAAAAGACAAATTAGACATTGTGGCAAAAATAGGGGTCAACTTTTTAAAAGAGTTAAAAATCATAATAAAAGAATAAAATGAAAATTGATGTAGACCGATGTTTAACGTTACCTGAAATAGTAGTCAATTTGGTTGACAATCTTAGTATACAATTTGGGATCCGTAGGTTGCTGATATATTATTGGGTTAGGCGGTATTGATGGCACAAATGGAACCCCTCTTGATGGCTCCATGGGCAGAGATGAACTATATACCACTTGAGGTGGTGGTTCTGCAAATACATTTAATCATCAAAGCATGTACATAATACATAAAATACCATCTTAATGTTAAGATATTATACCGTGATATCCATATGAGCCTCCAAAGGGCCAAACTGGTTGTGGAGGTGGTGGAACATAATATTGAGCATTATATTGAGCATTATTAACCGGTGGTGGAGCGTAATATTGAGCATTAACCGGTGGAACGTAATATTGAGCATTAACCGGTGGTGGAACGTAATATTGAGCATTAACCGGTGGTGGAACGTAATATTGATTATTAGACGGTGGAGGCCCTACAGACGGTGGAACAAATCTTGGAGACCTATAATTGTCTCCTGAGTTAAAATTTCTTTGGTGAACATTCCAGTCCTGATTTCCACGAACTTGCCTATTCCCATAGTTTTGATGATGAAAACTATTCCCATAGTTTTGATGATGAAAACCATCTCCTCGTCCACGTTGATGCTGACCACCACGATACCTGAATGAATTTCGCTGATGCTGTTGATCATTAGGCCCAAATACACCTCTAGGTGGATACTGATTTGGAGCAGAGTTATGGTTGTGAGAACCTGGGACAGCAATGGAACCTTGAGGCAGGTGGCCTCCATTGGAAGTCACATTCGGATTTGGATGCCTATAAGGTCTCTGATGAATTGGCATAGGAGGTCTATTGTTCATGCTTGCAGTATCCCTATCTTGATCACGTGGAAAGGGGAGCATAGTTCCAGTACCCTAAGTTTCAACAATTTCAAAATTTTATGTGAACAAAAAGTACCCTATATAAACAAAAACATAAACAAAAACAAAAACAGAAACAAAACAAAAAACATATATAGTAACAGAAAAAATGCAGAAAAACTAGTAATTTAATGTATAATCTGTACAGAATCAATTGCTTCTTATTCTTAATCGTAAAATCGTTGCACAAATAGCTATATTAGCTATATTAAAGGGGAATTGTCTTTTTACAATTGCCAATGATATCATTAATAAAACTTCCCCAGAGAGTGAACTCCGGGTTGTCTTTTACAATTGCCAATGATATCATTAATAAAACTTCCCCGGAGAGTGAACTCCGGGAAGGTGGTAGAATAAAAGAGATTTGTATGATAAAATAGAATTCATATGAATTATGAAAATAATAAACCTCGCTCAAAAGATAAAATACGAGGTAATCCATCGTTTGTTTTAAGGTCAATTTATTAACACGTCTAGATAAAATTTTGAAAAGTAAACTCAAGTAACAACCCTATTTTTTCACTAACATGCAGATAAAAAAAACATAAACAAAAACAAACTCAGTAACGCAAAAACATAAACAAAAACAAACTCAGTAACGCAGCAAATACAACAAACCCTAACAGGATAAATAAAGTAATTATTAAAAATCAAACATACTAAAACTGAATAACTAAAAAAATATGCAATGTAAACTTAATATTTTTTAGTTAATATTTTTTAACGTAAAATATAACAAAATTTGGAGAGAGAAATTACCTGCAATTGAGACAAGGTTGATGCAACCAAGGAAGTTTCCCCCACTTCTAGTGGTGGCGGTGGTGGTGATTTGGCCGGAGCTTTGGCAGATTCAGATAAAGCAGGCCATGATTCAGCATCCATGACCGAAGAGGAAGCAGCGTTGGAGGGTTTGTTCCAAACAATCCTCTCGACAATATTGGCATTGTTTTCACCGGAGTTATTGTCGATGTCTTCCATCCCCGAAGTGACGGATAGAGTGACGACAACGGTGGTGGAATGAGGTGCAGCGGAGGCGACAATCTGGGTCCACGGTGGAGAAACGGCAGCGACGATGGGAGGATGATTGGGAGAGGAAGCATTGATAGCCATTGGATTCGGAATCGGGGTTCGAAATCAATAGCAAGGGAAATTAGGATTCAGGGTTTGATCTCTCAGTTGTTTTACAATTTTATTCGTGAATTAAGGAATTTATATGAAGTCGATACTTAAAAGTTTTATTCCTTCTAAAACAAACTTTTTTTTGTTTTTTTTTGTTTTTTTTTTTGTTTTTTTAATGATATGTTGGAAATATGTTGGAATGATAACTGTTTTAGAAATTATAGGAACGGTTTGTTTTTCTTTATAAAATTGAATAAAGTTTGTTTACATTCCATTAGAATGGGTCAACTAGTTTTTAAAATTAAATTTGAATAAATTTTTAAATTTGAGTGGAATGATGGCTTGTTTTTAAAAATAAATTTGAATTTATTTGTAAATATTATCATTTAATTACGTATTTTAGTTTCTACTTAAAATTTGATTTAACCTGATTTTCTGTTTAAATTTTATTTGTAAATATTAATTTAATATATTATTTTATAATTAATTTTTTATGAAAGTTGTGTTGATTTTTTTTAATACAAATTAATGATGCATCACAAAATATTATAATTTTATAGTACACAAAAAAAAGAACTTTTTAAATTTATTAAAATATTAATTTTAAAAATACTTATATATTAGTATAATATTTTTTGGTAAATAATTGATTATAAAATTAGTTCGGTTCTTTCATTAGAAAAACTCAATTTTAATATATGTATAATATCATAGTGTAGTATTTTTGATGTTCTTTCATTAAAATTAATTTTTTAATAATAAAATTGATATATATTTAAAGCATTATTAAAAAGCATATTGATTTTTTATTAATGATAATAAATATACATATCTATTAGCATTATTAAGAATCATAAATCTATTATATGAGTAAACAAAATTATGCCATATGTACCTAAATATTAATCTCTATATGAAATTAATATTTATGCTCTATTGTGTAAAAATATTATCGATACAATCAATCATGTCAAATAAATATTTGTCGAATAATTTAAAAAGTACTATTACGAAATAATTAAATAAATTAAAAAAATATCTTTTGTGAGTATATACATTGGAAGACCTGTTCTTATTTTATTTACAATTAATTGATCTAAAACAAGGCATAATAAACATAATGCAAGCTTTCACAAATTTAATTTTTTTCAATTTTATTTGACTTTGATTTGCTCTTTCAACTTGTATTTTAAAAATTGAACTTGTACTTGTTTCTTTGATTTAAAGATATTTTAGATATTTTTATGTTCATATATCATCATTAATATTCATTTTAATAATTATCATTATCAAAACTATTTAACGATATTACTTGTGTGAGTGCAACTTCTCGTTAAATTTATTTTGTATGATGTCAAAATTAAGATATTTTAGTATTTATGTATATTGGACAATATCTTCTGAGTCTTAATGTGAATCTTAGCATTAGGAAGCATACAAATATTTTAGAAATAATTTAGAAAATGTTAGAAATGATTATACATGACAAAAATGTGTGTGTGTTTATGCAAGACACATGCTTACGTGTCGACACATACGTTGTATGAGATGGCCCATGTTGTTAAATTTTTAAGTATGTAGCTTTTGTTTATGCATGTGTCGACATAACACATGCAAGGTATGAGTTGACACATATTAATGAGTTTTAAAGCCTGTAGTCTTTGATTGATGTGCCGACATTAGAAGGGTTTCAGTTTGATACATAGAAGAAACTTTTCTTCTATGAGTCGACACATGCTTCGAATGTGTCGACACATGACTTACATAGGTCGACAAATACAATGTATTTTTCCAAAGATTCATGATTTTTTCAAATCTTCTACATTTCTTTTGCCTCTAACTTACGCACGCGCGCGCGCGCGCACACACACACACACACACACACACACACACACACACACACACACACACACACACACACACATATATATATATATATATATATATATATATATATATATATATATATATATATATATATATATATATATATATATATATATATATATATATATATATATATATATATATATATATATATATATATATATATATATATATATATATATATATATATATATATATATATATATATATATTGTTCCGGACTGGCCCAATGGTTAAGCACGGTCCAGTCCACTTCTGCTCCTATAACGACCCAATTGCCTAAGTCCAACCTCTTTAGTGGGAAGTTTACCTTTCTGCCCCTCCAACAAGGGAGGCTTGCATATTTACCCTTGGTCCCATCACTTCTCCCCGTTAGTCTCTGTCCGTCAAACACGCTTCCACCATCTAAAAACAGCCAAGACGCTTGTGCCCGTAACTATGCCTCTTCCCGTCCCAATGGCTAGTTCTGGCAATTACCTATTCTTCGGGAAACAGTTATCTCGCTCCGAAAATAGGGACCAATGACCAAGCGCTGGTGGCATTATAAAAATCCTCTCATTTGAAAGGGTCGGGTATCTAATATTCACCTTGAAACACACATATTTTGTACTTGCTCGCTCTCTTGCTCGTTTTCTTACTTTAGCATCGGAGTGCCTTGCAGGTACACCCCTCCTCCTCTTTCACATTCAGCATCACTGACGCTTGTCTTTGGCCTATCTCAGGTTCTGATCATTTGGTAAGATCAGTGGCGCCGTCTGTGGGAAACTTGTTACTCCGCCTTTTCTCTCATCGTAGAGCACAAGACCAAAACAATTCTTCAAAACTCTGATCATGGTTTCCCGTGACAACAATCTTGATGCTCGTAACTCTTCTTTCCTCTCCGTCAGCAAGACTGATACTGATGGAGCCATCACCTCTCATGGCGGTGACATCCTCTGACAAAGGACAGAGCCACAACTTCTCCATCCCCTGTTCGTGCAGATCACGGCGAAACCCCACCTGTCCCGCAACACCTGCTAGTTCCAGTTCCGCCCAACGTCAACCCGGCCATGGCGGCCCTCCTTGAGGTTCTCAACAAAACCAACCTTCTAATCCTCAACCAGAACGCGAGGATTGGAGCGTTGGAAGAATCTTGTCGTCCAAGATCCCCTCCGCCGAGGAAAGAGCGCCATCAACGACGGAGTCCTCCTCTCCGGCGCGAGAGGAACCGTCATACGCCTCCAGAGCCAGAGACCCTGACCATCCGCAAATGCGACCAGATTTCTCCCCGGGACCAACATTCCCCATAATCCAAGAGGACCAGAATAGGCCACCAGGCAAAATCACAACGTTCGTCGCTGCCTAGATCCAAGGGTCGAGCACAAACCCCGTCTCCCCGACGAGACCACTGTCCTACCTATAGACGTGATGCCTGCTCCCCTTCTTGGACCAGCAGCATCAGCGATGACGAGCCTCGTGGCACGTTGTCCCAGGAGATCATGGCCATGCGCCTCCCAAAGGGACTAGAAAAACCCCCTTCTCTAGGCACATACGACGGAACAACTGACCCCGACGAGCACATCAATGCGCTGCTAAACTATCGCGGCATCTGGGGCGCCATCAAGTGCAGGTTATTCCTGACCACACTTAGGAAGGGGGGGAATGACGTGGTACAAAGGGTTTCATGACGACTCCATCACCTCATGAAGGCAACTGAGGAGACTTTTCTCTAGACATTTCACGGCCTCTCACCAACATCTGAAGACCGAAGCCTCCCTCGAGGCCATCGTTTAGGGGAGAGATGAACCCCTGCGAGCCTACAATAAAATATTCAACAAGGAGGTCGTCCAAGTCTCTACCACCGATGACATGAAAAATTTTCTGCTCGAACGTGGGCTCCGCCCCTGCACATAATTAGCTAAAGTTATTGGCATCCAGCCCCCGACAATGCTGGATGCTTTCCTCCTCAAGGCTCAAGTGTACATTCAGTACGAGGAAAAAGAGGTTGCCAGCTCTGTCCGTGATTCTAGACACAAGGAAAACATCTGTCCTTCCAGATCCGACAAGCCCTCGACATCCCATCGAGGAGATAAAAAACGAGAAGACTATCCCCGCGAGCCCTGGGACAACAAAGGACCCTCCGACAGGTTCCATAAATACACTCCCCTGACAGTTTTGAGGGAGAAGATCCTCACTGAGTGCGCCAACTCGGAATTTCGATAGGAAAGGGTCAAGTTCCTAAAGCAGATACCATCCAAACCCAATAGTGATAAGTCCAAATAATGTCGGTTCCACAAGAGCCATGGCCATACGGAGGAAGATTGTATCCATCTGAAGGATGCCATTGAAATACTCATCAAAGATGGGCATCTGAAGTAGTTCACCAAGCGAAAGGAAGCTCCTCGACCAGATGCCCAAGAATTCCAGAAGGTCGAAGAAGAAGTACCTTCCTACGAGGAAGCCAACCTCTAGGTCGCCATGAGCGTCTCACGGCCTGAAGATTTATGCATTTCCGAGGGGCTCAACGCCTCTCCATATTTTGCCGCGCACATCCCGTGGGAGACATTCCCCTCCGCCATGGTCATCTCCATAGGAGGTTTTTAATAAAGTGACGGTAGGATCCACCTTAACAAACTCTTTTCAATTTATACATCAAACTACGAGATTTTGATCCTTCATTGATACGTAGACAAAAGACTTTGTGTCTTACCAAACACAAAAACAATTAAAAAAACATTTATCTCCTCGTCTCACCAATCAATCCCAAATAGAATTTTTTTTAAACTAACACAAATAAAACAAGAGGTTCCTATAAGATACTATAGATACTTAGGGTGCTAATACCTTCCCTTAGTATAAACAACTCCCGAACCTTAGATCTTTTTATTGCATTGTTTTGCATATCATATTTATGGATTATTCTTTCTTTTCCCCTTCTCTTGGATAAATTAATGATAGGTGGTGATATCTTAGAATTTGTGAAGCCTAGTTAACCTAATAGATATGGTCTTCGATTCTCACCGCGAAACTACAGTGATATGTTATTTGTAACACCCCGTTCCCCAAAACAAAATAAAACAATTAAATAAACACGTATCAGAGTTTCTCTCCCTAACGGGATGTCA